GCTATCAGTATTCAGTGGGGGATGTCAAAAGAACAAACAGTAGGTCGAGTTTCTACGACTTCTGAATTTTATTCAATTGAAAAAGACATCCTACCAAGACTACTAAATGCTGCCGCTTCACAAAATGACTACAGTATACAGTAAGGTCTTCGGGAAAATACGTGTTTTAAGGAGAGTTTGGCAATCTTCAGTTGAAAAGCTGATAAGGAAAAATTAAACGAAAAACAAGAAGGATATTTCTCAAAGAAACCACCTTGAAAACCCAAACCTTTAACACAGCCAACAAATTCTGCCTGTGTTTGTTAATATATAATGCCAATATGGCACATAGAAAGCACTTGGATTTTATTGAGGTTGGGATAAAATTGAAATTGAGCAATAGCTGACAGAAGTGGAGTAAGCAATCGCACCGGAAACCGCAGGGATGTTTTTCTTGAAGATAATGGAATTATTAAAAACCGGCTTTGGAATATCAAGATTAATCATGAAAAATAAATATATCATGCATAGTGATTTCTGTCAGATAATCAATACATATATGCAATATCTTGAGGAGAGGTACCGACACAAAATATCAAAGATTTTTCAACATTTGTATCCAGTTGACAAAAAGAGCAAACAAAATTTTAATTTTTTTTTTTGTTGTTGAAAATTTGATCAACCACACTGCAATGGCTGTCAATTCATAATTCAGAACCTCTCGAATAATTCAGTGAAAGTTTGCATACCTCTTTAGCTTAAACTTATGCTTCAACGTCCTGCTAATTAATATCTGGATTTTAAAACGAGCGCTAGATAGTGACTATTTTTTAGAATTTTCTCTTTCTGTTATGTCTGGATAGGACAACGACTGGTGTCTTGAAAACAAGACGACTCATCGACGAATTATATAATAATTTTTGTCTGGCAGTCTTTGCCTTTTTAAAAATGCATGAAGGAAAGTCTCCGGAATATTTTGGTTCTTTTTTCTTTTGCTTTGATTTTATGATATTATACGAGTAACAAAATGATTTGTCTGAGAACTGAACAATACACAGTAAGATTTCTACATTTAGCTTTGTTCATTCAAAATATTACTAGTGTGTAGCAATGATTTCGCATTTTCTATCTTTGGATATCATAACTAACGTCTTATCTTACCTTTTCAAAAACCAAATTCAGTATTACGGCTAGACAGTATGACTTTACGAATTAATGTTTTGATATACAAATCAAATAAAAGTATTCCTCGATTGTCAGACACATAAGCAAACAATTGTCAAATACTTGTGAAATGTTCGTGGCTAGTCTGACGCGGCGTTTCGTCTCGGCCAAGAGACTCTTCAGAGACCTTTAGAATTCAAAGGCAAACTCGTTGAGCATTACGCCCAAAGTCCCGTTCGCAAATTCTTGATGTTGACAGTCTGGCCCTCNCTTTGAATTCTAAAGGTCTCTGAAGAGTCTCTTGGCCGAGACGAAACGCCGCGTCAGACTAGCCACGAACATTTCACAAGTATTTGTCAGACACATGTTTTTAAAAATACAAATCAGAATCATATAAAACTCCAAAAATCATAATCAAAATCAAAATCCTCTCGTAACCTCAGACAACATTAAGTAGTGAAGGGTACATGGTATTTTTCATTATGCGAGCAAAACGCACCTCAAAAACCACATTTGATAACGCTGCAATACCGTCTTAATCGGTTCTAAGATAAACATCGACCTAAGGATGTCAAATCTGTTCAAGGACGCAAAAATTGCTCACACTTGTATGGGTGTAACAAAGAATCATTTCTATTTTCTTTGAAAGAAAAGTTCAATAAATTAACTGAGAACTACGTACCTCAGTAGAACTTTTTTCAGCCCAATCAGCTGCAGAGATGCTAACACGTAAGCTTATCAAAAACTGAACTGTTATTAATACTTCACCCAAGTTATGTTCGCATGTGGAGGCGAAATCCGATAATTGGTTAGTGTTTTCATTTTAAGTGAGTGGAAAACAGATCTTCAGCGTTTATGAGTGCCACGCAAAAATTTGCATACCTTTCAGTACCTGTTCATCGCGAATGACTAACTAAGTATAATTTGTGCGGGGGAGGAGAGGGTGAAATTAAAACCAACATAAATATCATTCGTCATCGACTGGAGAAAACTTCCATGTGAGAAGCTTTTATATTACATTTAACAGTCGCTTTTGTTTTTCTTAAACTTAACTTGAAAGCAGTCCACATTTCCATTGCAAAATCTGGTTGCGTGGCAAATTTCACACTATGTTTCTTGAACATTCAGCTTACATGACAAATGTTCTCGTATGCTTCAATTCCAGACTCGTTAAAAACTAGCAAACGAACAATATGTAATCTAGTCTAACACGGCAGAAATTTAACGGAGAGAAAAATTGTTGTTTTCTTTAAGTGAAGATTAACATTTGCAACATAAAATGAATAACTTATTTTGGGCTTTTCATAGTTTTATTTATCGATAGTTTTTATCCCATTAGTTAAATTCTTCTAGTATCCTAAGCTAAAACGGAGAGTTTCATCCCTTTTCTAGTCAGTTATGATTTAAAATTTACTGGTAAGAGCCAATAAAGCCATGGGTTGAGTTATTCAAGCACGTCGCATCCATGCTGTAAGAAATATTGAAGCCATCAATAGTTCTAGTATTGAAACTCTTAAACACATACCTCGAGATGAGTTCGTCAGGAAAGGAAGGCAAATAAATATCCCCTTATAAAGGTTGCATGTTGTAGTTGCCTTTTCTTTCTTCACAGCATAGTTGTCTCAGCTTTTATCAAAGAGCTTTACTTCAGTTTGCCGATGCTGTTCGAAAGAGTACTTCCTTATAAATATCGTTCGTCTTAAGTGCAAAAGAACTGGTCAATAAACCCATTATTAANATCATTCGTCATCGACTGGAGAAAACTTCCATGTGAGAAGCTTTTATATTACATCTAACAGTCGCTTTTGTTTTTCTTAAACTTAACTTGAAAGCAGTCCACATTTCCTTTGCAAAATCTGGTTGCGTGGCAAATTTCACACTATGTTTCTTGAACATTCAGCTTATATGACAAATGTTCTCGTATTCTTCAATTCCAGACTCGTTAAAAACTAGCAAACGAACAATATGTAATCTAGTCTAACACGGCAGAAATTTAACGGAGAGAAAAATTGTTGTCTTCTTTAAGTGAAGATTAACATTTTCAACATAAAATGAATAACTTATTTTGGGCTTTTCATAGTTTTATTTATCGATAGTTTTTATCCCATTAGGTAAATTCTTCTAGTATCCTAAGCTAAAACGGAGAGTTTCATCCCTTTTCTAGTTATGATTTAAAATTTACTGGTAAGAACCAATAAAGCCATGGGTTGAGTTATTCAAGCACGTCGAATCCATGCTATAAGAAACATTGAAGCCATCAATAGTTCTAGTATTGAAACTCTTAAACACATACCTCGAGATG